CTTTCCCCACTGTCTCGATGAAAATGCATCGTTTAAACTAAGAACCAAGTTCGCTTTGCAATGCCTTTACACCCCCCCTTTTCAATTGTGAAAAACCTTCACAATTTGCATTAATAAAACATCAGCACCTGTGGATTGTCGAAGTCAATAATTTCATAGAACATATGTAAAATAGCTAAGCGAGCGTCTTATCAACTCAGTGGGAAGCGTACGTACCACTTGCTTTAAAAATTTATGGGTTTCGAACAATGCTCGGATTAGTTTCTCAAACAGTGTTAACAAATAAATTGTTTGTGATGGTGAAATATTGTGTTTTCTTCGACACGAAACTGATTCTTAAATATTATTCAGAATAGCTTCGGTGTTTCGGCGACATAATCCAGTTTTATGAGATGGGCCGTGAGTGTGCTGTGAATGGAAAACGTTAAATTAAGACCTAAGTTTAGATTATGGAGGATAATACTAAAATGTATCTTATAGATATGTGAACTGGGCTAGTTTGGCTCAGGGTAGAGGCAGACGGTTGGTTTTAATTTATATGTAAAGAGCCGTGTTACGTAACAAGAAAGATCTTGACAAATTGAATATCTGCCAGCTGTTGAAGTGTTTGTAAATGCAGAATGAAGTAAATTTTTCCCCCAGGAATCGCAATCGTTGAAGCGAGTTGCTATTTGGACAGCCCTGAGAGAGGTCAATCAGCTCCTTGTTTCCTTGCCGTTCCATTTATTTTCCGAAACTTTAATGAACATTTGGCTTCCATTCAGCCCTCAGCGGTGGTCCGGTGGTCGCCAGACCATGTGTTATGTGCGAGAGATGGATTTCGCGTTAACATGACGTGACGCTTGTGTTCTGATACTGTTTCACGAGGCCTACGCCTGGGAAATGTACAGCATGTTACTGCATACGTCACACACAGATTGTTCAACCACCGTTTCTTCAACCATTCTTTGCTTTCTTTCTTTCTTTCTTTCTTTCTACAGTTTTATTCTCATTTTCTTTCATATTTCTTCAGTTTTTCCCTTTAAATTCTATTCTCATTCTCTTTATTCATGTAGGATTTGAGCCTGAAGATGGCTGTCTTCTGGGTTGATGCCCCTTGTGAAAGGTAGAAGTCTACCGACGTTTCAGAATTCCTTGCTGCCTCCACCATCAGGGCGATGACCAGACTAGACGGCGCAACAACCCAGAAGACGGCCTTTCTCTTATTTCATTTCTGTCATCCGTTTTTCCTTTCCTTCCTTCTTTATCAAATCTCCGTTTCAAAAAATAAAAGAAACGCATAAAATAGTTTAATGAATGTTGATCTCGTGCCGCGTTTATAATTGGCATGCCACCCCACCCGGAGACACGAGTTCACATATTTTTCTCGTTGAATTTTGAGTTCCAGTCCAGACTACAGCCTTACATCATTAGCTTGTGTTGTGACCTAGAGGTTTTCACGGGCCGACATTTTATAATTTTAATCTACCCAG